TCCCATCGAGTGTAGACAATGTTAAGAAAACAGACTCAGAAGAGAGGGACAGGAGTACTGAATTTCTAACTGCTTTCATGATGTCACTAGCTGAGAAGCAAGGAGTAGGTAATATTATTCAACAGTGATGAGTGGCCAAGGTGAGAAGTCCTCTACCTCAGTTTAAATCCTGCTCACCTCACAAGCTCTGCAACTGTGTTGGAAGTCACAAGATCAGTTAATTTGCTGCCACTCTGTGGCAAAAGGGGTGGGGATATGGAACAGCAAATCAATGGAAGAAAAGAGTCTGGGACACAGTACAGCTGGCTACCTTGATGAGGCTCCCACTTGCAGTAGCAGCAAAGTTCCTCACTGTGCAGGGCCAGGAGTTGGAGTCGATGATCCTTGTGGTTCCCTTCCAAATCAGCATATTCTGTGATTCTGTGATTCTATAATCTCCAGCTCCCCAGCAGGGCCACAGGAGCAGGTCATAAGCATGGATAAGCCTCAGTCCCTTCCTTTCATTGGGCTGCACTGGAGTAAAGAGTGAACTGTCCCACAAACTACTCTCACAATGGGTAACAGCAGTAGGCAGAAATGCTTTCCCCTTACCACTCACTAAAGCAAAATGCCTTGTAGTGTTCCTCTTGCTTGGGAAAGCTGCAGCTAAGAGGCTCCACGAGAGAGAAGTGTGGTCTAGAGAGGGGAAGGACTCTGACCTGGTTGGCAAAGCCGTATTGCCAAGCACAGGCCCCATTTCCCCATCACTTCTGTGCTGTGTGAAGCTGTGTTGGCATTTCCCAGTGACAAGCAACTCCTCCTACTTCCACAGTGGGGAGCACTGGGATCATGAAAAAGGATGGGAGCCGTATTTATTCCATGCTTATTCAGAGGTCAGCTCAAATTGATAGCACTGGTCAGCATGCACAAAGGAATTTTTTGCTGGGAAATCCTAGACTGGTTTGCAAGAATGTGTTCTTTTTACTGATACTTCCATGAAAGTCGTCAAGAGTGCTCTTTGTCACATGGTTTAGTGTCATATGGTAGTCCTGCAAGGAGCAGGGAATTGGACTTGATGATCTTTATGGGTCCCTTCTAACTTGAGATATTCCATGGTTCTATGGATTTTTTAGTTTTCTGATCAATAAAGATGGAAGAATTTTCATAAGCTAAAAATGTCTCATTACATTTTTCTTATTTTGGACATTATATCTGTATCAATACATTACTGTATTTGCACCTTAAACATGTAGATGTTTTTTCTTGTTTTGTCTTTATTTCAATCAAGTGGGTTTACTCAATTAAAATGTCTCATTGTGGTATTATCAAAGTGATTGTTTCACTCTGGACCTGACTGGTGATCACTGGACTGGGTGACCCTGGTAACTGTCAGTGGATGTGAGAACTCTTTGGTGGTGGGATCATAGTCATAGATTCTTGGGGCATGGGGCTCTGTTAGACTGCACAGCTTGGTCCCTGGGAAGGTCCGGAGAGTGCTGCTGTATGTCTCATATCTGACTCCTCCAACAATCAGGATGATTTTTTCCTTGGAGTCTTCCATCTGTGAGGGAGGAGGAAGAAGCAGTCCTCATAGGCTCTTGTTTATCTTCAGTTGAAAAGAGAAGAACACAAAAGAAGTAAAGTAAAGCAAATTCTGAAGCAGTAAGGATTTCCAGGGTACCTCACTGCAGAGCTTTTAATCACATTTTGTACCTGAAACCTGCATCTCCTACAGGGAGGAAGGCCCTTCTGCCCTTCCCCATCATGTTCAGTGCCTGTTCCTAGACTTTGCTCTGTGGACGCATTGTCTGAACACTTTTCAGGATATGCATCAAACAAAATGACAAACATCTGTTTTGCATTGTTCTCCCTCTCAGCTTCTCCCCATGGGGACAGAGCACACAGTCCAAACTCTGTTTCACCACATTTGTTCATATACTGCAGATAATCACTGCAATCAACTCATTGGAGGTAAAGTTTCATCCTCAATACAATCCTTCCACTGTCCCTTTCCATGTCTAGTTCTTCCATCTCCACATCCAATTTCTTTCTCCACAAGCACTTTCTTGCAGTGACCTTCATGTGCTAAAGACGTACAAGTCATCAACAGCTAATTCTCCACTCAGGTCTTAAAACATAATCTCTTGTGTTGAGCCTGGCATAACAAGTTTCACAATAGACCCTGCTGCTTGGTGGGAACATTGAGATTGCCTGAACTACACTTTTTCCTTCAATCTTCCCTGTAGAGAGTCCCACTGAGCCAAAAAATCTTTCCCTCTGCAGAAAGTTGCTCTGGAAAGTTACCTGGAAACTATATGCAGGATTCCTGGAGTAGCTAGAAATGCAGAATAAGATACTGCCTCCTCCTGACATCTCAGAATAGCCCTAGATTCTGCTGCCAAGGCCAAATATGTTCAGCTGCTTATTTCCTGTAATACATCCCCTTTTGCTCTTCAAAATTTAATGTGCCTGGAAGAAAAACTCAAGACCTGCTTTATGAACATGATTCTAAGAAGGTAGGGAAACCAAGGACCTATGTGTTCCTTAGGAACACCCAGGAGAAGTGCAGAATAGGGGCAGGATGTTATTGAGAAAGTAACTAAGGCTGTCTTTTACCCACATGTATTCACTTCTGACTTTCTTAACCCCTCCATTTCCTCTCTTCCATTTCTACGCATTCCTATCCAACCTTCTCTAATGCCCTGCATAACTGAAATTCCAGTTGTCCCTCCTCTTTTTTTTGCAGAAAATGCTGAACATGGGAGTCACAGGTCACTTCTGCAACAAACCTTGCAAAGAACTATGTATAGCACTTCATTCAGCCTTATGAATGAATGGAACACTAGAAGCTGCAGCTTGGTCACACGCTCATGGCAGAAGAGAATTATCACCCATCTGCTGTCCTTCCCAATCCCAACAGTCTTGATGCACCTTCACCCTCAAGCTTCCACTAACTTCAACTAGTTAAGTTTATTTAAAAAAATAAGTTTTCCATTTAGGTCTTTTACCTAGACAGCAGTCTGGTTCTTTGATCCTCATTGGCACTTCAACGGTGAGTGCAAATAGCCTCACTCACCCCACCCATCCAGACAATCCTGGCCTCTTCTCTTAGCCAACACCACAGCAAGGCTGCAGAAACTAGAATGGCAAATTGCTGCCAATCTTGTGTGGGATATTCTGGGTAACAAGCCATATTTTCCCAATACCTTCCAATTTGGTACTGAGCAACCTCATAGCCAAACATTGCTGACAGACACAGCACAAGCATAATTCTCCTTAGATCCAGACTCCAAAAGCATGTGAAATCTATGCTGGTTCAGACCTTGCTCCCTGCTGTCTCTATAACAAGCACTAAACTCTTCACATCCTTCTCCCTCTCTGCAGAGAGTAAGAATGGAAACTACTTCTTTAAATTTGATTTCTGGTATGTCTCTAAGGTTTTGAAAGCAGGTAATCTGATCAAGCTTGATATATCCTATCTGTTCCACAGCACTGTTTGCCTTTTACAAACCTTTGCACTGCAACTGATTTCTAAAACCCAGAAATAATTGGCAAGCAAAATGACACATGGTGTTCCTATGCTCTGAATAAGACCCTTTGATTGCAATAAACAGCTTGTCCTCTCAGAACATTTTTTAAGCAGATAAAAAGTGCAACTCCATTTCCTTTTCCAGTGCCCTATTCCAAGTTTTTTCCCTGCCTCCCATCTTCTGAGAATTCATTTTCACTGCATGAGGCACTGCAGGGCTTTGGCAACGAATGTCAAATCTGCTCCCTCAACCTTAATACTTTGAATAATGAACTCATTTCAATTTGGCCTACTTTTATTAACACCAAAGAACAAGGTAGACTTTTCAAGATCAGGTGATTGAAGCTACAATGAACTGAGGCATTTTTCAAAGATGGTATTTTAACAGAACTCATTCAGTATTTCTTTCCCATAATCTGTGGTATTTAATAAAATAAATATTTTGTACAAGGCAGAAGTTTTGTGTTTTTTTCCCTGTTCACTCATATTCAGATGCACCGGTCTCAACTAAGCACTCAGGAATACTCATGTAGTCTGAATTGGATGGGTGGTGTCTTCATTAACTACATTTGTGCTAGAATATAAGAGAAGTTTTAGCTATCCAGTATAAGCATTTCTTTAGAGGTTGTTCAAAAAATATTTGTGAGGATGATTAACAGATTCCTACTTCAAAACACTGAACAAAAAAAGCTTAAGCTATTGTAAAGTCTTCACAGTTTTGGGGAAAGACCAAGCTACCCTTTCGGTGCTGGAGACAGGACCAGAACCTGCAGGTTTAGCTTTTCTACTCTCAAAACCAGTGCACGGAGCTTCTGTGGAATCTCACTCACCTCCAGACCTTTTTTTCCCATCCCATGTTTCAGCTCTACCTCTCCCCTGACGTCTAACACAAGTGTGCTCCTCAGATTATGCAAACAGATCAGTGAAAAGTTTTTTTAAAAACTTTCAAAAATAAGGTGATTTATTACCTGGATTACTGCAAAAATGTGTAAAATGTTGCAAGCGGAGAGAAGAGCAGCTAAGTGTTCTGCAAGTGCAGATCCGCCCAGCGCAGGCTGGCAGGGCGGTGGCAGTGGCTGTGACCTGGGCAGGGGAGCTGCCTCCTCCCCGTGCCCGGCAGCCCCGAGTGCGGAAGGGTCCCGCAGACACGGCGTGAAGCCCCGCACTGCCCGCCTCTGACTTCGCCTCCCGCCGCAGGGACCCTCTTCCCCCCCAAGGCCTGCATCTGGCCGCGCTTCCTCGCACGGCTCCGCTCGCCCTGATCTCGGACACTCTTCGCCGCCCCTCAGTTCCCCGCAGCTGCACAAGAGGCCAATGCGCCTGTTCCGCGCCCCTTGGGCCGCGGCGGGTCCCCGGACGAGCCCCCACTGCGCTCGGGAAGCGCGGGCAGCCCCGGGAGCGGAAGGCGGGAGCGGCGCAGGGAGCGGGCGGGGCGGGAGCGGCGCAGGCGCGGGGAGCGGGGGGCGGCTCGTCGGGCCTCATGTCGGGCCGTATGTCGGGCCGCGCGGGGCCGGGCTGGCGCCGCGGGCGGCTGGGCTCGGCGCCGGCCCCGGCTCCTGGCCGTAGGCGGCTGAAGCCGCTGCGCACGGTGGTGGCGTGGAGGGGCCGGGCGGAGTGGGACCAGGTGATGGTGGGGCTGTACTGCGGGGACAGCCGGCTGCAGCAGGACGCGCTGGACCGGGTGTCGGCCTGGAAGAGCCGGTACGGGCCGCGCGGCGCGGGCGGGGAGCGCGATGCGGACCTCGGGGTTCCAAGCGCCGCCTCTGTCCCCGGAGCGGCTCCTCTGACCCTTCTGTCCCAGGCTGCGCCCGGCGCTCGCGGTCCTGGGCCCAGAGGACGCCGGGTACGCGGGCGCAGCTCCCCCGGGGGCAGCTCCGCGGCCGCGGCAGTGTGTGCAGGCTGGGTACGGGGCCCCATCTTGCAGGGCATCTTCGTTGCCGGAGGCTCCGGGCATGTAGCTCCTGTTAGATGCACAGTGACCCCGTGGAGAGCAGGGGACGCAGAAGACCTACGTGCCCGCAGCTTCACGGGCTGGTTTCTCGAGGCAGTGAGCGTACAAGGCCTCCAGATCTTATTCTATGTTGCCTCTGCCGCATCCATACGGAGGAAGACCTGCCTAGATAAGGCATCTTCTGTATGTGCGTAGCATATCAGTAAGTCCTCATTTAACGTGTGCTTAGGAGTAGCCATGTAATCACTGTTCCAGATAGAAGCCTTCTGGAAAGAGTCTTTGATGCTGTCTCTACATACTGTTTCTCAGGCTGTTATGTACCACAGAGCACAAAAACTAGCCGGAAAGCTGCCTTTTTTGCAGGGTGACTGTATTTGTGTGACTGCTCACCTGGTTTTCCTTTTTCTCCAGTTATGGTCAAAAAATGCCTCTTGCAGTGGATTGCACCGCAGAACTGATTCGTTGCAAGGTCCTGGATTCATCTGGCAGATTGAAGTCACATGAGCTCATCCTCTCTTATGGGCTGGCTCTTGTAAGGTAAGGGCTCTGAAGGCCTGTGTGCTTTGTGACAAAGTCCTGGGCAGATGTCCTTATTCAACTAAGTTCACTGTTCATCTCTGAGACCACAACATGTGGGGAATTTGTCTCTGGGGTTCCAAGTTTCTCTGCAGCTTCTGATAGTAATTTTCTTTTCTGTAACGTGCATGCAGGTTTGTCAACTTGATCACAGAAAGGAAACAGAAGATGGCCAGCATTCCTCTGAGACAATTAGCCAGAGAGGTAAATATTTAATAAGAGTTGCTTGATAATTTATGTCTACGCAGAAAGCATATGCATTGTCTGTTAACAACACTGGGTGGAGGGAGTTGTGGGATGTCATTCTTTTGTAACCAAACTAATGGATATAGGTGCCAGTTCTTTCCAACTGCAAAGTTTTAAGAGGCTTGCTGCAACTGTATCTAAATATTTGTTCTTTAAAGTCAGATTAAGACTAAAAAAAGCTGATGATCATTAAAGCTTTTTGAATCACATGTGGTCAAAGCCTTGATTTACATGCGTATAGTCCCACTTGACATACTGCCCTATATTATCCTTTCTTAGCTACTGAGATCCAGGAAAAGAACTAAATCTGTAGTTTATAAATTCTAGTCTTTGACAAGCAAGGCTATACATAAAAAGCACTTAATCACGTTTACAGGCATTTTCATCTGGTGTCTCTGGCTTCAGGTGAGCTTGTCCTCTTCTGTGTCAAGGAGGGAAGGTTCAAGCTGCAGTTGTAATAGCAGGACCAACTTAAATAGTTTTATTACCAGCTGCACCAACCACCATATCTGGGGCTGAACAAGTTTTGATAGTGAAGGACAGACAATGTTTGAGCTCTTCTATATATGCAGCATTGTCTGGGCCCCTGTGTGAGAATTATGAATTGATTTCTACTTTTTTTTGTGGGTTTTTAAGAAAGATTCTGCTTCTCACCTTTTAAAACTGAGCAAGCTTAGAAACAGAGGTCTTGCATAGTTAAAGGTAGTTGTCCTTAGGAAAGTTGCCAAAAATTGTGTACAATTTTTATGTGGATTTCATTATTACGTATGATATGATTTGTATCTTTGGTATACAGTTATCCAGAATGTCTCATCTATTTAAATATAATTTAACTGCTTCTCGGTATCTTATTAAATTACATGTAACACCTCTGTCTAAAAAGAAATCTGTTGTTGCAATTAACGCCAAAGAACTTAAAATCGCAAGGCCACAGGAGGAGTGAGATCAGGGAGTTGGGGGATCTTGGCCCACCCTCGAAGTGGGAAGCTGGGTAACTACAGTGCAGGAGTGACCTAGGTATAGGCTCAGCTTTGTGAGGCTGCAGGCAGCTGTGGCACGATGCAGTGAAAATGTGGGGTGACATCCACTGGCTGTTCTTCCAGGTGGATATCCCCATCTGGGTTGTGGACCTGCGTCACGAGCTGACCCACGGGAAGCTGCCGCGGCTGGCCCTGTGCCGCAAGGGTGAGTGCTGCCAGGGAGGTGGCACTGCCAGGGGTGGAAACACCAGTGCCATGAGCCCTAAGAGGAGCATCCCTCCCTCCAGTGTGGGGGGCTGCAGGGCGTGCAGTGGACTTGTCAGACGCGGGGAGGGTTTGCCACTGCCCTGTGGGGGTAGCTGAACTGTGTCTGGTGGCTCCAGGCTGTGGTGCATCACAGGGAAGATGTTCAGAGGCTTCCCCCTATCCCTGAAAAAATACTAGAAAAAACAGTTTGGTACTCTGGCTTTTTTACAGCACAGGAAGTTCATCTCGGGGAAATAGATAAAACCTTTTCCTGATGGTTTAGAGGTAACCGAAGACTCTTTAAAAAATCCTGTTTAGGGAGAAAAGCAGTATGTACTGCAAGCCTGAATGAATGACCAGCTCCTGGCATTTGAAGGGATTCTTGGGAATTTTGGGTTAAACACTGATGAGCCAGTTAAATAACCTTCAGCAGGGTCCTTAGATTGAGGTGGATGCAGAAACTGTAATGGAAGTAAAGGCATTTTCTTTCTATCTTATGTATGCCTAGTGTGTTCTCTGCACAAAAAAATATCATGTTATTGTTGTAGACACTATGTTGACCATGGTGATACTGAAGTACTGGCTCATTTTCTCATTAGAATGCCACTGCTGGGACTTAGTTTCTGCTTAAATTTGACGTAGCTTGAGCTAGGTGCAGCACTATAGTAGTGTCCAGTCTTTTTTGTTGCCAAAAAGAAAGTGGATGGATGTTACCAGGCCTGTGATACTGGATTGTGGGGGATTTCTGTGGTTCCTTTTTGGGGGGAAGGAGGTTGGTTTTATGTTGGGGTTTTTTTTGGTTGGTTTGTTTTTTTTAATTTGCTCACCTTTCCATTAATGGAGTTCTATATGTTTTCTGGGTTCGTAACTGTTTAATAGCACTTCTTTTCATAATACAAGTTAGTAATGTGCCACTTATATTCTTTTTTTTCAGTAACAAGTCCTCACTGAGAAGGTAATGTTTTCTGTTCTCCTTTAGGTTGTGATGTTGTGCTGGACTGGCTACGAAAGACATATTGGAGCCGTCAACTGGGCAATAACTTGTGTGAAGAAAGTGAGGATGAGGATGAGGATGAGGAAGAGGAGGAAGCAAACACAGAGTTGGGCAATGATGCATGGGAGGTTCAAACCCCGCAGCATGAGGCCTGTCAGAAACACAAGGAATTCCACGGTAGATGTCCCTATAACAATGGCAGATAGAAGGATTAGATGTGCTGGTTTAAACGTGTCATCTTCTAGCATAAAGATATAGCTTCAGCTCAGGTTTTAGGATTCCTCTGCACCTTGGTGGATTCTTGGGGTTGACTGACTGGTTTGGTATTAGCTCACCAAATTTGTAGCATAAAATCCTTTACTTTTGTTGAATATGCAGTATCATAATCAGTAGCAACTGCTATACTGGGATGAAAGCATTGTAAAAATTAGTTGTAGCGTCTTGATAGGCACAGTTTTGGTCTTGAGGCCACTACTGACAAAGAAGGCTATAGTCTTTTTATAGCTCTCAAAACTTTGTAGATTCTAACTTGAGAAAGAGCAAGATAGAAGTGATTTAGCCAATTTCAAAATACTTTGCATGTGGACAGAAAAATCATTAACTGCTGATAGTATTAAAAAAAAAAATCACAGGTAACTCAGCCTGGGCATAATCTGAGATACTATGTGCAGAACAATGGGAAATCTTTGGTAAACTGTTCCAATGGTTGCTTTTTCATCACTAGAAGTCTTTGAACCCAAAATAAAGGACTTTTCTCAAAGTGGATTTCTAGTTTGAATGACTAAGTGGAGGAAGTGAGAGTTCAGATTAGATGTCTGGTCTGCAAGTTTTCGGCATGTGAAGTATCAAACAGTACCTCAAACAGTAAAACAAATTAGTCATAATTTTTTTCTGACAAAACATGGCAGGCTTATGGGGGTAACTTGCCCAACCCATTACAGCAGCCCAGTCCAAGGCTCAGAGAGTGCAAAAATGCTGAAGTGATGCTTGGTGCTCCCTAGAAGGTCACACTAGGTGACTAATGATTCAGGCTTTAGGACCTACGGATTTGTTTCAAGTCTTTAGATTCCTCCCTTACAGACTCTATATACATAGAGTTGCTGTGATCCAGAAAATTTTAGCTAATTTTTGAGTTTAATGCAGCATTTATTAGAACAATCCAAACCTAGAGGCAGTACTAAACTTTGGAACAGAGCAGCTCCTAACGTTTTTCTTGTTAGAGTGTTTTTCTGGTCTTCTGTGTTCATGTTGAATGAGATCCAAGCATGAGCTGTTCCTTCTTCTCCCTGGCTACCCTAAACAAAAAAACCATACCACCCCCAGTTGACAAAAGAGAGAATCGCAGAATGATATAGTAGATTCTGTGATTTGTATGTCCAGAGTAATGGAATGGGAATGGTATATCAGTCCTGCAATTCAGATGCATTTGAAGTTTTATATGGCTGATACTGGGTGATGGACACCCTCTTAGCTGGCAACAGTGACAGCTGAATGGTGAAATATTTTGGAAGATGTTGCTATTTCAGGTATAGTAAAAGTGGTCCACAGATAAAAGACATTTCATGCAGGTGGTAAATTAAAGTTCAATGAAGTCCAATAAGGACATGGTTAGTTTGTAAATAGCCGTAGTGCTGTTGCAATAGATACAAAATCCAAGTATAAGAAATACAAATATGCATCAGAACACAAACTGCATATAGGAACAATTTCTTCCTAAACTGATCTATTTAAGGATTTTTTTTTTGAGCTGTCTGCATTTATCCAACTTGCCTGTCTTTGACCACTGTTAGTGATAAAATAAGGAATTCATGGTTCAACCCAACTTGAGAAAATTTATGTTGCTGGAAGAGTCTGGGAGTTTTGTGAGTCTTTAGTGTGTTGTCTGAATCAGAATTTCTGTGTAATTTGACTGATGCCTTCCTTGAGTGTATATTCAGCAAAACTAAGCAGCTTGCTTAGAGACTAAATTCCCTTACATAGCTGATCTCCTGTTTAAACTACATATTTATGTTTATTTCTAGAAAAAGTCAGAGATATTCTGATATCTTACAAGAATGAACAGTTTCGGGTAAGTTTACTCTGATTATCAGCACTTTTGTTACTTGTTATTTCCTGCTTGGGGCAATACATGTGTTAGTTCCTTGTTTGGATATCATTACTAGTGTTGTCACACGTGGCTTGCCAAAGGAAAGCTTCTCTACAGAGAACAAGCAATTTGAGCTGTGATAGTTTCTAATATGAACACTTTGTTCATATTAGATGAACAGGAGATACATACTTATTGGAGATCCCAAGTCTTCCATGTCCCAGTGGATAGTGCTCAATTTGTTTTCATTCATCCTAAAATCTCTGGAAATTTAGACCTGTCATTCAGAAGTCATTAGTCCATATTTTCTATCATCCATAGTATATATTTGCAGTGACCCAGTGGCTGAGGTGCTGCAGACTCAGACAAGGTATATATCAAATGAAGAAACCACTAACTTTCAGAGGATTACTGACCTTAGATATTCCCTCTTTCATTCTTGGTACAATCTGGCTTTTATTTTGATCTACTGTGTGCATAATGTGACTGGCAAAACCTTGTCCTGAGTAGTTGACCTAATCCCCATGTCACATGCTGAGTTAATGATTCAGAATGGCTCTGTCCTGGTTGGTGCTGAAGTCAGTGAGAGCAGGGTTTAGAACCAGAATGAGGATGCCAGGACTGTGACTCCTTGATACTCCTGTCTTTTTAATTCAGGCCTTTTCCAAGTATGACATGGCTTATATTAATTTTTACTGTAACTCTAGGAAGAGGAGCTTTTGTGAATTTTTTCGAGTGCTATTGATGACGTACATAATGGCATGTGCATCTTCCCTTCAGAGCAATGTCCTCATGTTTGCCATTGGGGCATATTTTCTGTTAATGCTAGAATTTTTCCTTCACTCAGGTTATGCAGGCTATGCAGTCTGCTTCAAAGTCTCGAGAATTGTGGTCTGATTCCTCTTCAGAAATGGATTGGATTTTGGCTCAAATCAAAGACCTGATGCAGGAAAACAGGTACATCTCTAATAAATAACTGAGGTGAAAGGTTCAGTCCAGAACTCAGCCTGTAGCCCTGTTGCACTACCTTTTCACAGTGTTCTTCACCTGATAGTGGAGAAAGCAAGTAGTAGATTTCCTCGACATCTTTGAGGACTGAGTTGTTAATCTGTGTTAATGAGTAATGTTCCCTGTGCCAGCTGGTCTCCAAGGTGTTGTCCCAGACTTAGCTGTGCTGGCCCCAAGGCATGTCAGCATCTTCAGTGTCTTCAAAAGCTTTCCCAACAACCTTGTATAGACTTCAATTTCACAGTGACCTTTAGAATTCTTCAAAATTGCAGGGCAATACTTGGCATTTTCTATACTTTCTGTCTTTCTATGACTAGAGAGCCTCTAGGACGCAGTGTGTTGAGACCATACAAATTTGCATGAAGATCTTGAATCAGTGTAACTGTAGAGAGGAGAAAGTATCATGTTATAGGTAAGAGCTATAGCTCCTGATGTTTCAAATATAAATATATATGCCCTACCTGCTGCTGATTAGTTCAAGAGGTTATCAGATGATGTGCCAGAATAAAACCCTGGATTGCCCGTCAGTTGCTGGGCATGGAATAATGAGCAGGAAGGCATGAAGATTCTGTCATGAGAAGGAGAACTTGCTAAACATGGGGCTTCTGTATCAATTTAACTGTCTCTAAATAGCTGGACGGTACAGGTAGAAGAAAGCCATTGTACCTGCCTGGGAAGCCTCCATGTGACTGAGGGAATAAACAGTTACAGACCTCTGTGTTCACAAAACACAGTAAAGTACTAAACTAGCTGTATGTAGCCTGACACCCAGTTTCTGGGGCTTTCTGGAGCTAATGCCACTCAAAGGAGAAGGATCAAAACTGGATTTTGTTTTTAGAAACAAATTACATTCTACCACTTGCCTTCTCATGTCCCACCACATCATCTACTTATGACAAAGTGATCTAACCTGTGTGTATGTGTTGTTTCTATATGCTGAGCTCTTCAGCTGCTGTTTGTATTTATAAAAATTCAGCATTGTATCTAAGTCATGTCTGGATGTTTAGAGTTGGAAGTCACTCCTGTTGGAGAAGACAAATTTTCTCATCTGTTATCAAAATATGCCATGTTTGACATGGGTGCTACCATTCCAGATCTTTGCACGGGTATAGAAGCTCATGGATAGAAATGTGAACAGAAGAATTCAAGAGAATCATATTGGATATTGGGGTAGTTGTGGAAATTTTACCTCTGTCCCTTTTGCTGTATCTTATTTTCAAGAGTCAGTCAGTGCAGCCTACCTGTGTTGGTACCCTCAGTCTTCACTTTCATTAAGCCAGCCTAATAGGAGATGGAGTGATCCTGGAGCCTGCAGCATTCAGTGCTGTCAGACTAAATGAAGTTTGCAGGATAGTTGTAAGGGCAGGAGGCATCCAAAAAAGAACTGCAGGGAAGAGCAGTTTTGACCTCATCTGCTGAACAGCTGTGCACACTATATGATGTGACTTGGGCCAGCAGGTCAGCAGGGTTGGCTTTCCCCCTGAGATTTAATGTAGCACTGTGAGTCAGAGGTTCTCTGATCTTGGCTGGCTGGCTGGCAGCAGAGTTGGATCATGCCCCACAGGTATTTCAGTATAAGTGTTCCTGTGCTTTTGAAATACCAGGATACTTGTAACTCGAGTATAAATGTTTCCTTCAAGGTTCCGGTTCTGTTCCAGATTGTACAACTGCACATTTCCTCCAAGTCAAATAGGATATATCCAACCCAAAACTGGCATATGATTTTAGTGCTTTGCAAAATTTTCTATCCCCTCCTAATTGTTCCAGGTATTTGGCTCTCAAACTTGTTTCAGAAGTGGTGCAAGCCATGTTTTGATTTGTAAAGGAGTAAGTGTCATTAATAAGTCTCTCTGATTGCTCTAGGGAAGCAGTGGCTGAAGCTCTTCTCAGTGATGGCTTTCTCATCCCAAAGATGGATTGTCTGAAGTTGCTAAATATCAAGTATGAAGGTTAGTATTTTGGGCACCATGCCAGTAAGAAGTGCACAGTTAGTGTTCTGACCAAGCCTGTTCTTTTTTTCCCATTATGTTGAAATCTGTAATTCTCTGCATATTTTTCGTACATCTAGGTCCTCAAACATGTTTTACCCTGTTCTCCAGACCCCTCTGTGTCCATGCTTAGCTAATGCTTTTGCATAAATCTCTTAGTATGGAAGGCTAACTCTTCAGCACTGAATGCCCAGCCAAAATATCTTTCAAAGCCTGCATCTCTGCCCTTTTATGCAATAGTTGCTGATTTCATGAACTCCCACTAGTTTCATCTACATTGAAAATTTGAAGCAAATCAAAATGAATGGGTTTTTTTGAGCCTCATTCACCAGTTGCATCTTAGTTCCAAAATGCTGCCCATACGTATGGAGTTGCATGGATTTTCTGCAAGAGAATTAGATACCTAGAGGGAGTGAAAATTAATACATTCTGTATTTCACAGCCAAAGAACTTTCCAAGAAAGATCCTCAAATATCGGTGACTATATTATTACAGTAGTAAAAATTTAGGAGCTTTTTTATTCTATGTTGCTTTGCTCAATGTATCTTCTCTTTGCAGTATATTTTTAGACAGAATGGGACTTAATTATGTGTGAAATAAGCTGAAATGGAAAAGGGATTAGCAAAGCAGGTAGATTTTCCTGTGCTAATAATTTCCTTGTGCTAATTATCAATTTGTTGCTTATTTCATTTCCCTAGCATAAGAAAAATGATAGTTTCAGGTTCAGTGAAGATCCCAAAAATACACTGGAACCAATGATCTTAGAACAGACGACTTCAGTTTGGTGCAAGTGTCACACCCGCGTTTCACAAAAAATTGCAAAACACTAATTTGTGGCTTCTCTTTTTTTTTTTTTAATTCTTATTGCAGCAAATAAAGAGGTATGGCAGTTCAAAATTCCTCAGACCTTTTACTGCTTTTGGCAACCTTTGCTGACAGGCCTCCTTTCACGAAGTTTTACACAGATCCTAATAGAGAAAATGTTTATGGAGCTGAAGGAATGTTCTGACTCTTCAGAACTCAGGCATCAGTTCTTGATCAGCTGGATTTCTGAGTTGCTGACTGGCATTGCCAAAGTAAACGCTGGTGAGTGTGTCTGGAATTTTTGTGTTTAAAGAAATATAAGAGTCTCCTCTGTACTAGTGTGAAAACGGGGAGTGGTGGGAACTTTAGACAGAAAGTGTAGTAACCTAATTAATACATTTTGTCTTGTGAACTTAAAGCTTTTATTGGTGCATTTCTTAGACTTTTCAACCTGCAGCTTATGCATTTCATGTATTTTTTAGTAAAAAATTGAAATTGTTATTATAACTTCACTGCAGCTTCCTCAAGATAGGAAAAGCCAATCTCTCATATGAAAGATCAGGCTATTTTTTCCAGATATCAGTACTTGTAGGAAATAACAGTAGCAGGTAACAAATACAGATGTTACATGCGATCTGTTCCCAGTTTTTTCCTCCCTTAACAGAAGCCTGTCTTTACAAGATACTAAATAGTGTTGCTGTCCTTTATTGATGCTATTGCAGGACCTCTATGCCTTCTAAACTTACACAAAAGTAATAAGAAGTATTTTGTTTTCAGTTCCTGACTCCTTAGAGCTGTTAAAATTTGCAAACTGTATGTTTCATTCCGGAGGCAGTGAGGAGCCTTAATTATTCAGTGTCAGAGGTATTCTGTGAACAGGACTTCTATACTGTGGCCTAGTGTAATCCTAGAGATTTCCAGCTGGTTAATTTTACTGCCTCTTCTGTCTTCTCCTGGTCAGGCTCAGACTGTACAAAGATTTTGCCAGTATCTCAGGTAGTCATGGGTTAATATTTCGTGCTTTTGCTCAGCACTGAGCATCTGTTATGTACCCAGACCCCTGAACAGTGCTCACTCACCTCAATTTTGCTGTTAACTCTACTCACTGCAGAGCTGCCTGGAATGGTGCTGGGCCCCAGATGCAGTATGCTGCATTTACTTGGGATAATACTGTTCAAACACATCTTATGGCTTTCCTGTCTGGGGTGACATGCCCAGGGCCAGCTTGGAAAGGTCTGCACCTCGTTGTGGTTAGGTCTTGTGGAGCCAACCTGCTTGTCAGTGCATTGTCATGTCCCTTATGCCAACCTTGATGTGTTTGGTCAGTATATTGAGTCACGGACATGAATTGAAATGCCAGCTTATTTGAGGATGTGTTCCAGTAAAAATGCAGAGGGATGAAGGGCATATTTTTGAGTTTTGAGCACCTTGTCGTTTTCGTTATCTTCTTTGAAGGGAAGAAAAAACAGCACTGTAACAAACAGGTGTCGGTGAAGGAGCTGTTCCTCCATAAAGTTCCTTTGCAGTGGATAAGACTGACTGACAGTTGCTTGGAAGCTCCCTGCTGGGCAACCCCACATCTTCTTCAGCTGTAAGTTTGATCCTGTGCCCTAGAAAAGGGACAGGAAACAGTGCTCTGTAACAGCTTTGGTTCCCTAGTGATGCACTGAGTTATAGCTGTGTTCCCTTCCCTTCCTTTGCCTCTAGTAGGAATTGTGACATGTGCATATAAAGCTGTGCTTGTTGCTACTCATCTCCTCACTGATTCCACAAAGAGAAGGAAGAGAATTTAAAGGATTGCACCTTCAAAATGAAAACAGAGGTTATCTGGGGAGGTACTGAAGAAGCAACCTGGTCAGAAGAAAAGTGACTTGGTAGAGGTGTGACTGCTTATAGAGGTGATACCACCTGTGGTAAATTTGTAACTTTTACACATGAAAACAGCAAAGCAGGAATTCAGTTAGAAGTATCCCAAAGTCCTTAATTTTAATTACAAAGAGAGAGTATTACAGCATCCACGGATCAGGGAATAATCAGAATTTGCCTGTTAGAGGAGCTATATGAGCCAGCTGTCCTGGAGGAAAAAAAACACTTAAAAGCAGAAAAGACTCCAGATGAAGGTTTATCAAGCCTTATAAGACTTTTCTGTTGCGCTTTTTCCTTTTTAGGATCCTCACAATCATGAGACCTCGCTTGTCACGTACTTCTCGGAAGAACCTTCTCTATCTTGCTTCCATTTACACAGAAGGAGGTGCCCCTTTGTCCAGTCCAGGCCTCTCTTCAGACAGCAGTGAACATCCAATTTACACTATAGAGAGCTTACAGTGGAGAGTCAGGCAGGAAAATCAGGTTAAAAATCAAGGGCAGACTGTAGAGAAAGAAGATGATGTGCTGGAGAGAGATGATGGTGTAGAGGAAGTGGAGGAGGAGGAAGAAGAGATGGTAACTGAAACAAATCCTTTGGAAGGACTGGCTCATCCTGGTAACATGGCGGCTGTGGCTGAGAGAAGAGCAGCACTGCAAGGGTCCCCCTGGCAGATCACTGCAGGTAAAGAGTGACTCTGTAAGACTTTTGCTGCACACCTGAGATTGTTCATTTTTGCTGAATGGCTGAGTTGCATGGGGCAGTATTTGTGGACTTGGTGGGGGAATCTTGTTTCTGAAAATCTCTCTGGGAAGGTCAGACTCCTTGTTTTTGTACTGTTTTTACCTAGATGAAGTACAATGGAAAGACTTTCCTCTTGGGAAACTCCCAGGTCAGACAGATGACCCTGATGGTCTCATGTTGGATAATTATTCTATGATGTCCCTGCTTGATCAGCCAGTGAGAGATGAGTGGAAGACTCTCCATACAAAGTGAGTAATGGTGTCCTCAACCATGAAATGCATTTATCTCTCTGTGCCTTGTACTATATACCATGTGAAAAATTAAGGCTGGGATTTCCTTTTTACTTCTGTTTAACTAAATAGTTTGACCTATCTAATATCTCCTACTGTCTCTGATACCCACTAACTGTGCTTTTCTTCCAAGTAATGTGTGTGTTTGGGAGGACCTTCGCAGTGCTGGTGTAAGAGCATAACTGTGCTGTGCATAACAGTCTGTTCTTCAGACTGTGCTGACAACTTTCAGCGTTGTCTGATGTTTTTAGTAAGACACAGTCTGCTGATCCCTTAGAGTAACTAGTCTGGAAGGGCAGAATTTTTAAATAAAGCTACTGAGAGCTGGTGCAGACTCTGCCTGGTGATACACTGGGATGAATAATTTTTATGGGAACGACTGTGACCTCGCAGTTAAAGCATTCAAGACTAAAAGCCTTGGAAGTCACTTAGCTTCCCCATGTTTCAGTTTTCCTAGACTAGCTGATCTGTAGGAAGGAGGAGTCATTCTGAAATGCACAGTGGTTTGCAGAAGCACTTTGAGGTGCATTAGTGGGAAAGCATGAAGATGAGGTGATAAAGTTACCCACAGAAAATGGTTGACTGCAATTACTTTTGTAATACCTGAGGAGAGAATTGGCTGTACATCACTGGGGTGGTGAATATGCTGAGAGTTTCACATCAGTGAATGCAAACGTGTCTCTTTTCTGTATGCTTGAAATGGAAACCGAAGTACACTTCCTGAGTAAGCTCTGTGTCACTGCAGTCCCAGTTATTCATCCTACCGTTAACCCAGCAGGAGACAAACTCTCTTCTTACCCTCACCCACCACAACAGGACACTCCCTGCTTATTTGTACTGCATTAGTCTGACAGTGTGTTTGCATAATGGATAAAATCAGACAGAAGTTATTGCTGCCTGTATTGCTGTGACAACTCACCAGTGTCATGGGAAGTTACTTCATGAAGCCCTAATCTCACTTTTTGAAGATGGAGGAACATACTCAAAACTTACCTCTTTGCATTTGTCTCCTTCATCTTTTCCTGTCATTAAGTCTGAGAGCTACTATTTATAATGGCTCCTGTTCTTATTCCTTTCTTTTGTTTTGCACTCCTTGTGTCTTTCAAACTATCTGAGACTTAAATGCAGTGGCACAATTAGTAGTCAAAAATGTGATTTCCGTGGTATCCTTTGAGGAAGCCATCTTATAATATTGCTATCTTCACTCCTCCTGCCCTTTTCTTAAAAGAAACCACTGCAAGGATTATGAAATACTGCCATTTAGCACTTACTAGCACAGCCTCAGCAGGCTTCAACACTTAAGTTCCTGTTAACTGGGGCCCCTCTGAAAAGCAGCCTCTCCTATAGCCACTTATTCTAGTATTGAGCATCTGGAAAAGGCTTAGAGTTTTTTGGTGAATAGCTTGAAGTTGCTGTGCAAATAAAACATCCCAAACATCTCAGCCTTTTTGCAGGAATTTTTTCTGTCTTCAGAGCTCTTTGGTTTTAACATGAGACAATTTCCTGAGATGCTTGGATACTTTGAAAAAGCTTACAGTTCCTTCCTCCCTGGCTCCAAAATATTGTGTTTATTGGTGTTTTTTCTGGTGTGTGCTGTGCACGTGTGTTGTCTAAGTTCATGTTTAGTTGCTGAGGCAACCTCTGAAGCTTTGAACCTGTCATCCTTAGGCAGATGTTTTGTTTTTGTGATAAGCCTATGTGCTTTTTGTTAGCTCCCAGTGCTCAGTTTACCTGACAGCAGGAGCAAATTTGGCAAACAATGACCACTAGGAGCGTTTTCTGAGGGTGCAGGTACTGACTTGCTGTTGCTTTAGGGATTGCATCCTTGAAGGTCTCTGTAAATGCATTGGTTCCCACAACTTCTTTCTAAAGCCATAGGAATGGGCAGTATTTGTGTGCAGGATAGGCACTGTAACATTTGTAACTTGTGATGACTGTTCTTATGTTAATTGCTTGCTGTGTTAGCATTTCACCTGATGAGCTGCAAAGGACAGATGAAGGTTCAGATGAAAATTGTTCTCTGGTTATTTCTGCAGTCACGTGTCCCTCAGAACTGTCAGTAGCTGGTAATCTTACTTTTGGTTTGTGCGTTGGTACCTTTGGTGTTTCAGGACTGTTGCCTCTCTTGAACAGACTGATGAAAAACTAAGGACATTCCAGCAGCTAAATGTTCAGAGCTAAAAAAGAAAAATTATGTTGTGGAAATAATGTGCTCTCAAAATTAACTTTGGTGATGTGAGCTTCTAAATCAGCTCAGTGCTTATGTGCTTTATTTCTCTTCCTCATAGCTCTGCAGAATTGAAAATTCATGGGACAGGAGGATTGTTATGGACCCAGAATGACTTCCATAAAATAAAAAGTGGCCTTCAACTTTTCTGAGACAGCATCAGAGTGCTCTGTGACTTTCAGTATTGCACAAGTTAAGTGGGATGGAAGAACTACTAATGGTGGTGGGGAAATAATTTGTTGTTGTTGTTGTGATTTACTGATTTTTTACCAAATAAAATCAGTGTTTTATAAAGGTGGTTTAAGGTCCATGTATAGTAACCATTGTCTTGCTTAACCACTGTCATGAACCTTTAGCTCTAGCTGATGTTTGCCAAATACTGTCACGAACCTTTAGCTCTAGCTGATGTTTGCCAAATACAGTTAAGAGTAGTTTGGAATCCCTCAAGGTTCCTTAATTTTTTCATAGTTAATAAATGCAACTGACTTTGAAGACAAACCTTCCTCCTGGTTCCTGTTTCTCCATTCTCACTCAGGTATTCTAGAAAGTGTCCTCTGGTCCTCATTAGCCAGACTGTTGAGCTGATTTTGTAGCTGATCAGTCCTGTAGGAGTGATTTTGCCAAGATAAGATTATGCTACAGTTTTCACCTAGCTGGGATTTCACACAGAGCTTCAGGGATCAATCCTGGCTATAGCATGGCTGAATGCACTGTGGTGCACAAATACTTTTCCAAATGTTTTTGTCACCATTTTTGTCAAGTGATGATCTTGAGGCCATTACTGTCTCTTTTTCAATGAAGTTTTTTGCTTGATGTTATTTTTGTTCACAATTTTGCTAAGGTTCATAACCAATACTGTGGTCTCTGCTGAAAGCTGGTATGATTACTGCAGAAATGGACCTGAGTGAGTGCCCTGTTGAAAAGTTACTGAGAAAACTGGCTTCCAGATAGTTTTTCCTAAATTCAGTTTTCTTTACCTGTATTACAGGTTCTCAAAACTTGGAGGCTTGTGCAATTACCTGTAACAAAAACCAGGAGTTTAAGTATGTATTTATTGCAGGACTCCTCAATAAGGCTTTGTTAGAGTGCATCTGCTAGAGGGTAATACAGAGGCTTTCTCGGAGTCAGTCTAATAATTTGATGTTTTACAAACTAATCAGAAAGAGGAACATGTTAGTAGAAAGGGAGAAAGGACACACAGCTTTAGCAGTACTTTGCATAGGACTGAAATGCATGTTTAGAACAGCAAATTCATGGATGCTTTGGGCTGCTCTCAAGTAAGGGCTTAGCTAGATATCCATAATGTATTATTTCTTTATTCTTTCTTTTCTAATTTTTTGTTATCCTGTTCTACTGCAGTTGCTTGTTACCAGACAGCCAAAAGTTATTTACAATGGAAGATACACTGCACATTTCCTTCTTTAAAAGCAAACAGTGCCAATGCAAAAGGAAACAAACTTCTGAGGGATTTTTCATGTAAGCCTTTCCCCTTTCTCCTTTTAGTCAGCAGTTACTCAAACTTATTTAGGAAATTCTGAGTGAAGGGGATTTGTTCTTTTATTACTGCATTTCAAAGAGTATGAAATTACTTAAAATATTGTATTCTGTATTGCAAACAAGCATACAATTCAAAAAGGAATGTGTGGTGCTGGCAAATACTGTACCATATGTTAACTTTTTTCCCCTTTGGTAGAGGGGACACACTTGGTGTGTGTCTGCCACTACCCCACCTAAATAATTTGGGATTTTTCAGTAAATCAGCTAAAAAAATACCAAGAAATAATTTGGACAGACTACAACAGTTTTTTTGGATAAAACAGCTTTTTTTGAGCTCTTGTCTAAAGAGGGTTGAAAAAAAAAAACTAGAAACAAATAATTCAATGGCTCTCAGTTTTATTAAATAAGGAAATTTTTATATATTTATAGATATATAAACTATAACGTCTCATATTATTAAATAATTGTGCAAAACGTTTACACAGAGCAGGGGGGAACAGGTGATAGCCTGTACTTCTTTTAGATTCTTGCAGTTCTTTTAATACATTTACAAACTTTAAATACCACAGACCAAAATCATTAGTACTGTAAAATGGCTCTTCAAAGGCTAACCAGACACTGGCATGAGAATAATTGATGGTACACTTGTCTTTTTCCACTTGAAATATTGCAGGAAATCCAGTCAATGAGGGCTCTGTCACCCCAACAGGCTGTGGGTACATAAGGGGAGTATTAAAGCTGAGCACTCGCCATAGAAGTAACCGTGACAGATCTAAAGACCTGAGCATTAGGAGTCCTGGAGTATTAATGCTTCAGGTCAACTTTTGGAAAATCAAGATCAAGGAACATTTCAGCTCTGGAGCAAAGCTTCGCAGAAATGATGCATGTTCCTTCTCCTTAGCGTGGAGTTTGAAAAATTACAATAATCAGGTGTTCCTGTTTGTGGTTTGCTGTACATCACAGGTATGCACACATGACACCAAGGATTTTATAACTTTATAATTTGGACAAATTCTTTGTATGTTCTGACTTTATCATTAAGAATTTCAAAATGCCAAAATGCATAATTTGAGACAAACTGGCATTAAAAGTAGGTAGGGGGGAAACTCACTTACATAGATGTTTTGGTTTTATTTGGTTTTTTTTCAATGAGGCTCCTTCTACTTGTTCTAAGCAACCATACTCCACACCTATTTTTAAGTTTAAAGTTAAAGCATTTTTTACAAAAGCTAAACAGACTCATGCTAGTGAATAACTTACATGCAGCAGCAACTAGTGCAGTGTACACTTATTACTACAGAGATTTAAGAATACCACATACTGGTTTAACATCCATTTTCACTCATTTTGTCATTAAGACTTACATTATATTTGGGTCAACCAAAAAAACCCAAAGAGATTTATAAAATTTTACAACAATTAAACAGTAATGTTTAATTCTACAAATGAATAAAGCCAACTACTGCGGCTCAATATGACAACAACAGACTAACAGCAGTGAAATCATCTACAATTTACTATACTACAGACATGTATTTCTTACAAAAAACATTAAATAACTTAGACTGACATCCCATAAAGCATTTGTTTTTTGATTTATGAGTTTAAAGTTACACACTTTTAAGTGACAAATTATGTGAAAGTAATATAGCCAAAGATGGAAGATAAGTAAATCAGAACTCCCAGAGAATGCTCTGGCCCCAGTAAAGCACTAAAATCTACTGCTTAACTCTTGTTGGCTGCAGTAGTCCGTGATTTTACCTTCACACTTTTCCCCCCCTCATCTAGAATTGTATTTTCATGGATTTTATTAAAATATAGTTTCTAGAACTGTTCTCTTACAGTTTTAAGAACATTTAAATACCATGCTCTCAAAAAGAGCATTTATATGAAGTCATATTTACAATATAGACAGTTATGATCAGGTGTTAATAAGATCAACTCTTCCATGTAAGAAGAAATCTAAGCTTATGCGCTAAAGATTAGTGAACGTGTCAGTGTTTTGAATTGTCTTGTAAACATATTTGAAAACAGACGTGGATGACTGAATTATCACTTAAAGTAGTTGATCAGGAAGGACTACATCACATAGAAAAGTTTCATTACCTCTGAGGAGGACTAAACAAGCACAAAATTAGCAGGTTATTTCCACAAGGCTCCATTGCCCGTTCTGTAACTATGCATGGTGGATGCTAAATAGCTTCCTAGAAAAAGACAATTTGCCTTTGAAGTGCCTTAGGGAAATAGTTTGCTGGGTTTGTATTAGCATAGCATTCCCATTTTAAAAAAGGAATTATTCTATCACTAAAACAAAGGTTAGTGAAAATTTAAATGACCAGACAAATCCTACAAAACTGGGTATCTCCATAAGCCACCCAACATTTCATACAGAAATCTCTGCTTGGTTTTCCACATTAGAAAACATCAAAAACATCTACTAAACCTCTCTTAAAATAGCTTATCTTTATAAGTGGAGAAAAACGGAACAAACATTTTTCTGCATACAAATATCTAATTCCATGCAAGATGGAAAACATGAGTGCACAATAAACTTCATATCATACCTAAATAATTTATAAATTAATGTTAGAATAAAGTAAGGTCTATAGCAATTACTGATACATTTTAAACACATGCAGATGAGCTAACAGCAACATTTTTACATAAAGTTTAGTGCAAGAATGTATCTGCTTAATAAATAGACTGAAGATACCTATGTAATGCTTTGAGATGTACACACAGTATCTGTGCACATAAAACCTGGTTGTGAAAAGTTGTCCTTGTTTGTCTATAAACTACAAGTGCCCATTTTAAATAAAAAAAAAATCCATAATTACTCATGGGCTACTTCCCTGTGACACATGGTGTCACAAACATTGTGGTGAAAATGTAATACTGAAGTTAATCTAGAGATTATTTTTTATACACAGTTTTTATACAATCAAGAAAAAGAGATACAATTTGTATCAACAAACAAAAGGTCATTTCTGGTTATTTGAGGCATTGCTCTCAGCTGCTTATACCATGCAAGAGAAGAGAATAAGAATTATTTGCAAATAAAAAAATATGAAATGTTTTTGAAAACTGGTCAAGAGTTAAATCTGTTTTCCCCAACTATCATAAGTGTCTGAAGATTTCTTTTTTCCCCATTAACAAAGAGAATAACCAACTAATTAAAACTTCAGTTATTTTTAAACACCAAGGGTAAATACAGAGTCACCTTCAAGTCACCTCATTTCAAATACATAATGACATGGTCATTTTATACGTCATCTGTACCAACACAAGAATATTTATCCTGTGTGAAATGATACAGCTATCAAATGTCAGTAAATTAACTGTAGTTGCACCCATAATTGTGGTTTGTCGTTGGTTCATTTGTTGGGTTTTTTTATATGACAGGAACATATTTTGCACATGATAAAGAGCCCACGAGATATTTTGAATCAAACCAACCACTACAGTAACACAAGTGGAGGAAATGATGTAACTTTGTTTCTCAGACAAACAGATAACTAGAAAGCAGCATGCAAGCCGTTATCAAAACACCAGAAACAACCCTGACTGCAGCCTCACGTTCTGTGTGTTTCACAGTAAGAAACATTTAGGCAGTGTCACACCTTCTCATGAAGAAACAAAAGGCCATAAACCAGGCCTTCTCAACTTTCATGAAAAAAACTACAGTAGAAGTCAACAAGTCCTAGCTCGAGACATGTCGAGTTAGTCATGGTTCAAAATGTTGAAATATACAGTGGATTCAAAAAAGGGCGTCCAGTCAGTGCAGCTTAAAAAAACCAATAAACGCCTCTTTTGGAGACATTTAGCTACAAAGGTTTCCACCCTGAGCAAGATACCAGTTGCGCAAACAATTGCCACACAA